GTTCCTGCAGCGGCCTGGTCAAACACAGTGGTCCTTGGTCAGATTTCCTGCCTAAAGGAGATCCGCTGTTGGCTACACTGTCCAAACAATGACCCGTCCTATGCCTTCCAAACCTTACCTATTTCCACATGCTGCTCTGGTAGCATCTGAATGTCTGAAAGTTCTAGCCGATAGATCACTGTGGTCCACTCCCAGCAGGTCAGGAACGCTTCATTGCCCTCAGCTTTCCAGCAGGGCAAGAAATCACCCTCAAGCGATGTGCCGCGAGGAAGATTGTCTCCTCAGAAGCAAGAGATCCATTTTCTCTATGATTTTTAAAAATTGTTCCCCCTTTCTGCCATCTGACTGATGGGGATTGAAACCTTCCCTGGCATGAACATCAATGGAAATGTCTTTTTTTTAAAAAAAAAAAGAAAAACCTTCAGATTACACTCCACATCTCTACTCTTCCCTTCCTCCTAGATCCTCACAATGCATGGGTTAGCGATACCCTCATCAGTTGCCTTCTCACCTTATAATGGCTTTGCTATATCATAGCTGCCTTCCTAAGAACGAGTTCTGAAAGATCATACATCATTGGCAAACTGGAGGTGTTTAGTGAAAGTTTTCATGTTGAAGTGTCAAACTGTAGGGCATCACATCCCTGTCTCACTTGGAAAATGTTTGTATGTGTTCCTATATAACCAGAATGAATTAGGACATGTGAGAAGTTTTTGCTCTGGGCAAAATGTGGATAAGAATATATACTTTGAGGCATTATTAGGAGGATTAAATGAGAAAATATATGTGCTCAACGCACTGTAGGTACTCAATATTAGTTTCTTTGTTTCCTTCTCTTTTCCTCCTTCCTGTCTTCCTTCTTCCTGGCCAGTATGAAACCCAGTTTCTTTATACCGTCTTTCTGGGACTTGCAGAGTCCATTGTAGAAAAGTGGTAGTGTAGCCTTGAAAATAAGATTTCCACAGCAGAAGCTGAAATAACAGTGAGAAAATACCTACATATTCTTTCTAAATTCAACTTATGATCATATCTTCTGTGAAACTCCTCTTAAGTCCATCCGCTCATACACTGCAAGAAAGAACTGATCACTTCCCCTTTTTCATTCATACTCATTTGTTTCCGTGCCCATCTTCCTCTACTGGATTGTGAACTCTCTGAAGGTAAGCACTATTTTTTTGTATCTCTTTTCCACTCAAGCCCTTAATAAGTGTCTATTGAATAAATGAATAAGTGCAAACAGGCAGGTTGCAACTCTAAAAAATTTCAGTGGGAATCCTCCAAACCAGGGAGGGAAATGGTGTTTAGGATGGAATGGGATCATAGAATTAGAGATAAAAGTCCTCTTAGTAAGTAAGTAGTTATTATTTTAGACTGCGAGTTGTGACTCATTAATGGATCATAGGACCAATTTAGTGAGTCTCATTCAGCATTCTTTTGAAATGAAACTAAATGAAGAAGAATAGAAAAAGTATGGGGAGTGACTGTTTAATGGATACTTGGTTTCTTTTAGAGGTGATGAAAGTGTTCTGAAATGAAATAGTGGTAATGGTTGCACAACATAGTGAATTTAGCAAAGCAACTGAATTGGATACTTTAAAATAGTGAATTTTATGTTATGTTATGTTATGTGAATTTTACCTCAATTAAAACAAATTTAAAAATGCAAAAACCCCACAAAAATCAGTATAGCATCACTAGTAGGAATAATTACAGCTTTGTGAAACTTTCTGGTTAAATATATATTTGTATGAACCTTATCATGATGTAAAAATGTATTTCTTACTGTGGGTCAAGATAAGAAAAGTTTGAAAACCTCTAACATAGTCCATCCCCCTTTTTTTAAGATCTATGGAAGTAAAGTAACTTGTTGAAGTCCCTAAGGTAGAATATCTAAAGGAAAATGTTTCAGGGAAAGGAATATACTGATGGTGCTGCTTTTGAATTTGAGGATATTGTCTGGGTGATGACCAGATCTCAGTGTACAATGGTAAGATAGTTAGAAACTAACCAAAAAATTTCAACAGAATGTCAAAATTAACTGAAAATGATTGGGAGGATAAAGGATGGGCATGGGCATGTGTAGGGTGAGGAGTGGAAATGATAATCCTTAAAAATCATTAAATGATATAAGGGATTTCCCCTTAGTTACTCCAGTGAATCTTCAGCTCTGGAACCTGGATTGGTGAACTGAGGGGCTGCAACTGCTCGTATCATCCTGGTTCCCCAGAACAAGCAGTTACTTCCACCATGGAGAGGGGCATGACCTGACATCAGTCCCTGTCCCATCAATGTTTTCACCATCCAGTGATGCCAGGAAAATAACACTTCCCAAAATACTGAGGTGCCCAAACTAGATCTATATTTTACTCAAACAAGTTGGAAAGGAACTATGAATATTACATTCCCTCGAGGTATGATGAATTCTCCTAATTTCCCTCATTAGTCCCACTAATCTGGTAAGTCTTTATCCTCTGTATTCTATTTTATACGCACATTTTCATAAACCTTTAGTGATTTTCACATACGATTATGTTCTCTCTAGCCCAAGTACATGGTGAAAGCTTTTTCTTTTGGATTCCCTCACTGTGCCTAGTAAGATTTTCATACTCAGATGTGGACGCTTGGATGTTGCTGAATGACTTCCCAAGCAAAAATCATTCTAATAGTCTCCCGGGGCCTGCCCTCCCTAAAGGTTATCCTGGAGAAAAAATTAATAAATTCAACAAATTGATTATCTACTATGTGCCAGGCATGAGCTAGGGTTTAGGGACACATTGGGCATTATAGGGATAAGAAAATTTATGAATAGACAAGTTTTATGATACTCTTTTCTTTCTAGTACCTACTGGGGTGGGGGGGGGAACCCTGCTTTTTCACTGAGTTGACATTTGCAGTGTTGGTGGTTAAAACTGCTAGCATCGTAGCCTGAATCAAGTACCAAACACTACAATATTCATCTACTAAAAGCCATTGTATTCTTTATTGCCACACAATCACAGAAAATAAAATATGGGTCACTTCAGTAAAGAATATCCTACAGTTTATTCATCCATCCAGTCCTCTGTTCATGGGAGTTTGTTTCCAGTCTGTTTCCTGATACAAACAGGATGAATGTCTTGTCCATATACGTACCATTTTGCAGAATATCTCTAGGACCAATTCCCAGAAGTGGGAATGGTTAGGTGTAAGGGCTAATGAGCATGTTTATTATTTTTGATTGTGAAAAAATATAGATACAATTTATCATTTTAACTATTTAGATGTATGCTTCAGTGGCATTATGTACATTCACATTTTTGTGCAACCATCACCACCACTCACCTCTAGAACTTTTCTCATCTTCTAAAACTGACACTCTGATCCATTAAACAGTAATTCCCCATCCCCTCCTTTCCCCAGTCCCTGGAAACCCACCATTCTACTTTCTATCTCTATTAATTTGACTATTCTAGGTACCTCATATTAGTGGAAACATACAGTATTTGTCCTTTTTCACATGGCTTACTTCACTTAGTATATCTTCAAGGCTCATCCTTGTTGTAGCATGTATCAGAATTTCTTTCCTTTTTAAGGCTGAATAATATTCCATTGTATATGAATGCCACTTTCTTTTTTTAATCCAGATGAACACTTGGGTTGCTCCCACCTGTTGGCGTTTGTGAATAGTACTGCTATAAACATAGGTTACAAATATTCGAGTCCCTGCTTTCATTTCAGTGTATACCCAGAGGTGAAACTTCTATATCGTATGGTAATTTTATGTTCAACTTTATTAGAAATTGCTATGCACTTTTTCCATAGCAGCTATACCATTTTCACATCCCCACCAATGGTGCACAGGATTCCGTTTTCCCCATATCCTCCCCAACACTTGTTATATTCTGTTCATTTGATAACAGCCACCCTAATGGGTGTGAAGTGGTAGCTAACTATGGTTTTGATTTGCATTTCCTTAATGATTAGTGATGTTGAGCATCTTTCCAAGTGCTCACTGACTTATGTAACTTCTTTGAGAAGAAAAATTGACTTACATTATCTACTTCAGAAAAATGTCTTTGCCCATTTTTAAACTGGGTTACCTGTTTTTGTTTTGTTGTTTTTGAGTTTATTAAATATTACCCTTATGGTTTGCAAATATTTTTTCTCATTACATTGGCTGTCTTTTCACTCTGTTGACAGTTTTTTGCACAAAAATCTTTAACCTTGATGTAGTTCAGTTTATCAGTTTTTTCTATTACCTTGCTTTTGATGTCATCCCCAAGAAATCAGTGCCAAATCCAATGTCATGAAGCATTTCTCCTATATTTTCTTCTAAGAGTTTTGTAGTTTTAGCTCTTAAATTTAAGTGTCTGATCCATTTTGAGTTAATTTTTGTATGTGATGTAAGGCTCTGACGCATTCTTCTGCAGATGAATATCAAATTTTCACAGCATTATTTGTTGAAAGACTATTCTTTCCCTAGTGAATGGTCTTAGCACCCTTCTAAAAAATCATTTAACCATGTATGTGAGGATTTATTTCTGCACTCTGTTCTATTCCATTGGTCTGTATGCCAGTACCACACTGTTTTTTTGTTTTTAACTTTTATTTAGTTCTAGTCATTTTACAATGTTGTGTCAAATTCCAGTGCAGAGCACAATTTTTCAGTTACACATGAACACACATGTATTCATTGTCATTTTTTTTTTTGCTATGAGCTACCACAAGATCTTGTATATATCTCCCTGTGCTCTATAGTATAAACTTGTCTATCTATTCTGCATAAGCCTG